CATTGTATTAGGTTATATGTTGTTTGATTTTAGTACTATGTATTTATATTATAGTATTGTATCTGTAATATATAGTGTAATTATATAATTAGTTATTTATTCTATATATAATAATATATATATATATAGTATATGAATCGGTTAGTTTAGAGGTTATTCTTATGTTAATATATGTATGTATTATACGTGTGGGTGGTGATGGTTATCACATAAGTCATGATAATTCGTAATATGAAATGCATTTTATATAGATAAGACTAAACACTAGGTCTATACAATTTCACAGCAAATAAAATATCTGAAATTAATACTCACGTCTTTTTCTGTTGTTTACACTAAATCGTCAACCATCACGCGTTCGCATGCGTGTCTTGTTCGTGTGTGTGTTAGAGTTACACCATGTTCTACACATCCACGTAAGTGTTCAACGGAAGTTATACATGTAATAATATGTGTGCCATATATATATTTAAAATGACTTCGATCTAGGCTTGGCGTTAGTGATTCAACTGGATATATTGTAAGGGTGTGTGTAGTTAAGTGCTGATGTCGATGTCGTGAGAGAGGTTAGTTAAGTGTAGTGTGATGAGTGTGTGTGTGTGAAATTATCAGTAAGGTTAATTATACCCCCCTCTTCCTACTTTACCTCTTATTTATTTATCTCTCTATGTCTATCTTATTCTCATTTTCATTAGTGTTTAGTTTTATATCTTAGTGTGTGATGTTTAGGTTCTCATACGTATCGAGATGTTGCTGTGTCTGTGTGTGTGCACACATTTTAAATAATTTCATCACTACTTTGGTCGGTTTTGTTAATGAGTGTCGCTTTAGATCGTTGGTAATTGGTTTTTTGTTATATGGTCGTGTTTGTTTATGGATTTGATATGTGTTACCAGTGCTGACTATCTTCCTGTCACGACATGGGTTATGAAGATTTAACTATCAAATGTGATATTTTGGCGTAAATTATTTAGCGGCATGTATTGAAGGTGCAGTCTTGGTTATGAAGACGTATTACAGCAAAGTAGATGTTGTATTATTGCTAATACTATGATAGCTATGTGTTGGGTGTGTGCTGTGTAGTGTGTGTTTGTGTGTGGTGTGTGGTGTGTGTGTGTGTGTGTGTGTGTGTTGTGTGTGTGTGTATATAATATAAAATATAAAATATCACATATATTTATTACGAATTCGATAGTCGTATCCTTAGAGCCTCAACAATGAATTATAAGTATTCATTACTGGTAGGCAATAGAGTGTATAGTGATCGATATTCAATAAAAACAGATTAAGTTGTTTAAACGAGTAATGGTCTCTATCAAAATCAGCTGACGTAAAGGAGAGGGAGAATACGATAAAAATTCTTTATATTCACTTCATATTTAATTAATTTATTATTAATGTATATATATACTTTATGTGTATATTTGTGGATGGTTAGTTTGAATTAATCATAATGCGGTTTACTTTGGTTATCCACAGGTTCGGTCGACCCTTAGTCATCCATTTCTCACTTCACTTCCTCGTCTCCTACGCACAACACCGCGTGCCTCCGCTCGCGCTCGTGTGGCCGATTAGCCCCAGGAGGCTTCGATGGGTGGTCGAGTACCTTCACACTTGGGCTACACATAAGCACTGACGATTTCGACGCCTCGTCATAAGGCAGGAAGAGATGGTCTTAGAGCATCGGTAATACATTTTTTGAGAATGATGAGAGGTTATAAGATAAATGCGGTGATATTTATATTATATAGTAGAACTATTGTATATAGACATGTATGATGCTGTGTAATGTATTGGTGTGTGCAATGTATAGTGTGTATACATACATATGACAATAACAATCATCACACGACGCGCGCGCGCGCGCGCGTGTTGTGTATGTGTGTGTGCGATGTGTGTGTGTTGCGTGTGTGTGTGAATGTGTGTGCGGGTAGTTGGTGTGTGAGAGTGGGTAACTAACATAAATACATACACACTATCACACACAAACAAATATAATAAATAGATTATATAATTATGCACACACACACACAACACCACACACACCACCCCCAAGAGTATTAAATTCTCATAAATCAGCCTAATTTCCCTCAAGTGAATCTACCCGTATCCATAAGTGCATATACGTACAGAAGCGCTTGCGGACGAGTCAAAGCACGAACCGAATTTTAACTTCAAGACACGTCAGGCCAAAGTCTGTGCTCTCATAACTCTCATAAGCAGTATCAAGTGTTACCACAGTTACACTTAATAAAATATTTTGAAAGTTGGGAATATTTTCTAGGAATCTTTGTAAAGTGTTATATTTTCTTTTATTGCTATTATTGGCTGTGTTAATAGCATTTTTCTTTTACTTTTAATTCAATTAGTTTTGTAATCTTTTTCATTACTATTGTTATTGTTGTTGTTGTTGTTGTTGTTGTATTATTATTATTATTATTATTTATTATTATTATTATTATTATTTATCATTTTTTGTTATTGCTATTATTATCATCATGCTATGTATCTTTGTATGATTATAATTATTATTGATTGCTATTACATCTATCATTTAATATGCGTATGTTCATTTATTAATGAGTTATGATTATTATCATTTATCATTATTGTTGTTGTTCTGTGTTGTTATTCTTATCCGTTGTTGTTGAGGTAGTACGCCTATTGCAATTACAATATATATAAGACTGCAGTTTGTCCTATTATCTTTATTGTATCAATTATTGAATCGTACGTGATATAACCCGATCAGATATCGATTTATGGATATAGTAATGTATTGTTGTAGCGCTGTTATCATTGGTTGCTTGATACATATTGCTTCAGCAGTACGAATCTGCTATGTCGGGATTATCATCGATGTGTCAATCGTAATGTATTATCGATTATGTTAACTAGTTAGTTATTTGGTTCTTTATACAATCATGGCATGTCTTTTATCATCGTTATTATTAGTGCAGATTTACGCTATTATCATTGATAAAGTGTATACTGGATTGTTATCAATGAAGGTAGTTATTATGCATCAGTGGTGATTTAGATGCAATTATCAAATGTATTTCATTTGTGTATTTCATTGATCAGTATTGATTGTTTATTAATCATTATCATGAAAGCTATAATGTGTCAATATATATTTCTAATGTATTTCTTAAAGTCAGACATATTTATGTGATCGTAAGTCCTTGTTATTGTTGGTTTATCGATCATGTATTACCATTGGGTGCGTATGTTATATGTGAAGGTGAGAGGTAGAGTTTATGAAGAAGAAACTTAGGTTTTTTGGATATACAGACAGAGTGTCTGACATCTATGTCTGTGGCGCTGTGGTGTGCTTGTGTGTGGTTGTCGTTGATGTGTGTAGTCTGAATGTTGTCTGGTGTGTGATGGTGTTTGCGTATATGTTGTCGAGTGTTGGTGTTGGTGTGGTGTTTGTTTTGTGTATGAGGTGTGAATTGTGGTTTAATGTGGTGTGTGGTTGGTTGAATATTAGTGTGCGTTTAACGTGTGTAAGGAGGATGGTAGTGGTAGATTATCCAGAGTGACATTTTTATAGTGCAAGTTGGAATCCTGTTGGGTGAGATGATAGAGTCGAGCGTGAAAATCTACTGTATATAATGGTGATTGGGGTTTGTAGTATAAGTAGCGTGTTAACGGCCGTCAATGCTAGTCAACAACTTGATTAACGCTCTGAAGAAGCAGGTGAATGAGTAGCTATTCCGGGTCTGGCGGCACACGGGGAGGTCAACACGCACACACACACGCCACAGCACACATCACATGGACACGATGGCTAGAGCACACGTACGGGCACGAGACAATACACATGAGCGCGCACATACAACGACGCACACATACGCACGGCACGGGAGCGTACGAAACACACGAAACAACAATAAAACACACGTCCGTCGCGCAGCGTGGACACAGCGAACGCTTCTCTATTCACTAGTGCAAATAAGTATAGGTGGATGTATACATCGATTAGAACAATTTCGTTGTCTGTGGATAGCGATGAATAGGGTTTATATACATATAATATAGTCATACATATATGCTACACATAGTTATAAGGGAGTGACTATGATTTAAGTATGAAGTATGAGGCGGCGTGACTACTGTGAACGTTCGTTTA